TGCTGCTCGAGGCTCGGGGGCCTCAAACGGACCCGCTTCGTTCTGCTGCTGCTGCTGCTGCTGCTGCTGCTGCTGCTGCTGCTGCTGCTGGCGTCGCGGCCTTTTAGTTTGCCTCCCTGAGCCAACAACGTCCAGGGCGTACGTACACCCCGCACCTCCATCAGCAGCAGCAGCAGCAGCTGCTGCTGCTGCTGCTGCTGCTGCTGCTGTTGCTGCTGCAGTTTCTTGCTGCGAACTCCACCGTGGGGCCCCGCCGGCGCTCCTGCGGGCCCTCACAGGTTTCTTTCGTGCTGCTCTCCGGGGGGCCCTGGCCCCCTTTGCTGCTGCTGCTGCTGCAGCAGCAGCAGCAGCAGCAGGAGAAGCAGCAGCAGCAGCAGGGTCCTCCATGGAGACTTCAGCAGCTCCCAAGTCCTGGGGGGCCCCCCCCCTGAAGAGCAGCAGCGGGCTGCTGCTGCCCTCTTGCTGCGCTGCTTGCTGCGTGCGTCTGTCGCAGCAGCCTGCTGCTGCTGCTGCTGCTGCTGCAGTGGTGGTGGTGGTTGGGGCATCAGCAGCAGCAGCAGCAGCGGCGGGCGCCGCGGCTGCTGCTGCTGCAGCGCCTGCTGCTGCTGCAGCTCTGCTGCTGCAGCGCATGCGCTCGTGCTGCAGCAAAGGAGTTGCTGCTTTCGAATCCAAAGTCAACAAGGAAGTCAGGGGGGCCCCACAGGGGCCCCCCGAGTTGGAAAGAGAAGCAGCAGCAAGTTGCTGCTGCTTCGAGTTGGAAAGAGCAGCAGCAGCAGCAAGTTGCTGCTGCAGCAGCGGGTCTCCAGGTGTATCTACAGGGCCCTGCAGGGGCGTGCGGGGCTGCTGCGGGGACATAGCTGCGTAGACACCGCACGCCTGCTGCTGCTGCTGCTGCTGCTGCTTCTGCTGCTGCTGCTGCAGGGGCGGGAGCAGGTGCGCAGCGGCGTGCTGCTGCTGCTGCTGCTGCAGCAGCAGCAGCAAAGGGTCCACTGCCTCCTCCCGCTCCCTCTTGTCACCTGAAGGGCGCGGCAGCAGCGGGGGCCCCCGAGCAGCAGCAGCAGCAGCAGCAGCAGCAGCACTGGGGGGCCCCTGAGCAGCAGCAGCAGCAGCAGCAGCAGCAGCAGCGAGGGGCCCCTGCAAGTCTGCGAAGCACGTGAAGGCGGAAAACGGGGGGGGGATAAGACGCCCCTCTCGTGCTGCTGCTGCTGCTGCTGCAGTCTGCGCTGCTGCTGCTGCTGCTGCTGCTGCGGCCGCAGGATCTGCTTCTGCGGGTGCTGCTGCTGCTGCAGCACCTGCAGCAGCAGCAGCAGCAAAACGAACCAAAGGAAGCGAAGAGAGACAAGCTGTTTCAGAGCCCAAACCCACAGAGTCCCGGGCAGGGCCTGGCGCCATCCCCACTGCTGCTGCTGCTGCTGCTGCTGCTGCTGCTGCTGCAACTGCTGCTGCTGCTGCTGCTGCTGCTGAGGAGAGCTGTTGCGAGTTTGTGTTTGTCTGCAGCCTGCGTTCGCCTCCACGGCATTTGCTGCAGTACCAGCCGCTGCTGCTGCTGCTGGTGCTGCTGCAGCTGCAGCAGCAGCAGCAGCAGCAGCAGTTGCTGCTGCTGCGCTCCCTGGGATGCCCAGGAGGTAAGAAGAGACCCCAAGGCTAGGAGCGAATTAGCTGCGACGTGCTGCTGCTGCCGCTGCTGCTGCTGCTGCAGTCAAATGCGCAGCAGCAGCGCCTGCGGCCGGAGAAGCCGCAGCAGCTGCAGCTGAGCAGCAGCAGCAGCAGCAACAGCAGCAGCAGCAGCAGCAGCAAAGGCACTGCTGCAGGGCGCGAGACAGACGCCCCAAGCGATGAAACAGGTCGACTGCAGCAGCAGAATTTTAGGCGTGCTGCTGTGCCTGAAGCAAAGAATCAGCAGCAGCAGCAGCAGCAGCAGCAGCAGCAGCAGCAGCGCCCGCAAGGTGAGGGACGCCGGCTGAGGGTTTAGGGTTTAGGGTTTAGGGTTTGCTGCTGCCTCCAGAGTCCAGTTGTTACCCACGCAGCAGCAGATGAAGCAAAAAGTAGGGGGGGCAAAAGAGCTGTATCGGCAGCAGCAGCAGCAGCAGCAGTAGCAGCAGCAGCCGGAGCAGCAACAGCAACAGCAGCAGCAGCAGCAGCAGCAACAGCAGCTAAAGCAGTAGCGCATTCACGTCAAATCTAAACAGTTTTTCTAATTGACCCCCGTAATAGATTACATAGGAGGGTTTAGGGTTTAGGGTTTAGGGTTTAGGGTTTAGGGTTTAGGGCCTAGGGTTTGGCGATGCAGCAACGAGCACAAACGCCATCCTCATCTGCGGTGTATGTACACCCCAAGTAAACGAATATGAAATTTGAATTTAAATTTAAATTTAAATTTAATTTTAAATTTAAATTTAAATTGCAGAAGTAGTGTTTGCTGCTTCCGCCCCTTTCTAAACCCTAAACCCTAAACCCTAAACCCTAAACCCTAAACCCTAGACCCGCAGAAGACAACGAGACAGAACCAAAAGCCCAGCGAACGCCCAACACATCTCATTGTAATGCAAACAGAACGAGATATACGCGGCTTCTAGGGTTTAGGGTTTAGGGTTTAGGGTTTAGGGTTTAGGGTTTAGGGTTTAGGGTTTAGGATTTAGAGTGTCAAGGCTTCGCCGAGCTTCCCCACCAACGCCTAATTCGCTACCCGACGCATTTCCTCCACTTCTGCTGCATTGCTGCTGCTGCTGCGTTGCTGCTGCTGCTGCGTTGCTGCTGCGTTTCTGCTGCTGCTGCTGCTGCTGCTGCTGCTGCTGCTGCTGCTGCTGCCGTCCTTGAGTGCTTCTCACCGCGTACCATATGGCTGCTGCTGCTGCTGCTGCTGCTGCTGCTGCTGTTGCTGCTGCTGCCAGTATTACTACTACTACTAGTACTGCTGCTGCTGCTGCTGCTGCTGCAGCTGCTGCTGCTCCTGTTGCATCGCTGCTGCAGCTGCTACTGCTACTGCTGCTGCCGCTGCTGCTGAGAAAGCAGCAGCAGCAGCAGCAAAGGTCCACTTAGATTTAATAAAATGAATTTAATAAAATTAAATTTATTTATTTTTAACATTTGTGTCTCCCCGCATGCAGCAGCAAATTCGTTTTTGAAATAAATGGCAAAAGAGATTTAATAAAAATAAAATTAAATAAAATTAAAAATAAAAAATAAAAAACTTTTTAAAATTTAAAGACTTTGCATGCATGCATTTGAAAGAAAAACGAAAAAATTCCATTCTTCTTTTTCTTTTTTAATTCTTTTTTATTTCTTTTTGGTTATTCTTTATTCTTTTATTTCTTTTATTTTATTTTAATTAATTACATTTCTTTTAAGTTATTTTTATTATTTTTATTTTTATTTATTTTCATTTATTTATTCTTTTAAAAGAACTTATGTTGCATTTTAGAAAAGAAAAAGAGTTTTGTTTGGAGAACAAAAAGAGCAAAAGAAATTCAAATTAAATTTGAAATAAAGAATTAAAATTAAATTAAAATTAAAAAATAAAATTTGAAATTAATTCAAAATAGATTTTTACTTTCCACAGGTGTTGGGGTGTCTGTACACCTCAGAGAAGGGGAGTTTGGTTGTTTTTGTAAATTCTAAAAAATGAAATTAATGGAAATAAAATAAAAATAAAATAAATAAATTCGAATTTAAATCATTTTAATTTAAATAAATGAATTTAAATTAAATTAATGCATTCAAATGAAAGTAAACAAACTTAACTTTTATTTACAACAGAAATTTAAATATGCAAATCCAAAATTAGTAAATTCGTAGTTGAATAGATTTATACAAAGATTAAACAAATAAATAAATAAATAAATAAATAAATAAATAAATAAATAAATATATAAATAAATAAAAACATGAATAAAAATAAACGGAAAAGCGTAAATGAATTTAAACGAATAAGTGCGAAAATAAATTTAAATAAATAAATCCAAATATGAATAATTAAAAAAATGCAAAAGAGATAAATAAAAGTGTCTAAAATAGGAAAATAAATAGAAATAAATAAAATTAAAAAAGCACAAATACAAATCTAAATTCCGAATTAATTAAATGCACAATACCATCAGAATAAATGAATAAATACAATTATAAATAGAATCAAAATAAATATCATAATAAATAAATTTATTAATATAATTTTTACTTATTAAATATAATAATACATATATTATATATATATATATATATATATATATATATATATATATAGATTAAGAGTCTTGACATCTATTTAATAATTTAATTTATTTCTACTCAATGAATTTACATTTGTTGAATTATATTATATTATTTAATTATCTTTTATTTGCCAAATTAATTTATATTTATTTAATTAAATTTTAATTACTTTTATTACTTCTGCATTTCCCAAAAGGTGGAAGTTCGGGTGTACGTACACCTGGAGGTAGAGAATTGCGCAAAAACGCAAACGCGCAAAAAGGGAATTTTCGGGATTTAAATTTATTAAATAAATTCGAAAAAGGAAATAATAAAAAGGACTTTTGCTGGAGTTTAATTAATTGATTAAATCCGGAAATTAAAACATTTAAAATAAACTTTTTACGATTTTATTTCGCTGAATAAATCCGGAAATAAAAATGTTTTAAATGCACTTTTCGGGACTTTGGTTTATTAAAAACAAATATTTAAATTGAATAAATAAATAGTTCAATTAAATAATATATATTTAAATTAAACAATGAATATTTAAATCAAATAATAAATATTTAAATTAAATTAAAATGTTTAAATTCGATTTTACTTTTTCAAAAATTCCTTTTTTGCAAAAAAAGGAAAAGCCGCCAGGTGTACATACAGCTCGCAGAGGAAAACAAAAGAAAAATTAAAAATTAAAAAATAAAAAAAAAATAAAAATAAAAATAAAAATAAAAATGAAAAAGAATTAAAGTGAAATGGAATTGGAAGGAGAAAAAGAAAGAGAGGAAATAAAAGTAAAAGAAGAGAAAGAAGGAAAAGAAATATAAAATGGAAACAAAAGAAATATAAAATGGAGACAAAAGAAACAATAAAAGAAAATTTAAATAAATTAATTCTTTTGAATTAATTTGTTTTTATTTTAAAATTCATTTTGCTGACTTTTGGAATCCTATAAAGACCCATTGAGGTTCTAGGTTTAGGGTTTAAGGTTTAGGGTTTAGGGTTTAGGGTTTAGGGTTTAGGGTTTAGGGTTTAGGGTTTAGGGATCAGGATTTGGGGCTGCGAATGGAAGCAGAAGCATCAGGAGCGGCATCACATGCAGCAAAAGCAACGGCAGCAAGCACAGCAGCAGCAGCAGCAGCAGCAGCAGCAGAAGCAGCAGCAGCAGCAGCAGCAGCAGTAATAACAACAACAAGCAAAATAGGAGCAGCAGCAGCAGCAACAGCAACAGCAACGGCAGCAGCAGCACCCGCACAAGCATGGAGAAGCGGAAGGTAGCGAGAAACTTCTCCAAGGGACAGCAGCAGCAGCAGCAACAATAGCAGCAGCAGCAGCAGCAACAATAGCAGCAGCAGCAGCAGCAGCAGCAACAGCAGCAAGCAGCGCAGGCCCTCCGAACAGCGCACTGAGAACCAGCTACGCACAGCTAGCTAGCCACAAAGTGCTGCAGCCGGCCTTAGCTACAGGTAGCTAGCTAGCTAGCTAGCCAACTAGCTAGCTAGCTAGCTAGCCAGCCAGCCAGCTAGCTAGCTAGCTAGCTAACCAGCTAGCTAGCTAGCCAGCTAATTGCATTAGCTAGCTATCAGGCTAGCTAGTTAGCCAGTTAGCTAGTTAGCTGGCTAGCTAGCTGGCTAGCTGGCTAGCTAGCTGGCTAGCTAGCTAGCTAGCTGCTCCACCCTAGCTAGCCGGCTAGCCAGCCAGCTAGCTAGCTGCCTAGGTAGCTAGCTAAGGTCCCCTGCTTTCCAGTTACGTGGCTAGCTAGCTAGCGAGCTAGCCAGCTAGCTAGCTAGCTGGCTAGCTGGCTAGCTAGCTAGCTGGCTCGCAAGTTGGCTAATTTGGCTAGCTAGCTAGAGCTGGTGGGGCAGCCAAGAGAGGGCAAAGCTGTGGGTGTTTTGCTGCTGCTGCAGAGCAGCTGAGAGAGGAGAACAGAGAGCAGCAACTGCAGCGGCAGCTGGAAGCTGCTGCAACAGCTGCTGCTGCTGCTGCTGCTGCAGCAGCGGCAGCAGCAGCAGCACTAAATCCCCTTGTCTTCCGCTGTCTTTCGCAAATTTTGGATTTGATTTGTTTTCATTTAATTAAATTATTTATTTAAATTGAAAAATGAGGGATAGGACTCGCAGACGCAGTGTAAGCAGCAGTGAACCAGCAGCAGCAGCAGCAGCAGCAGCAGCAGCAGCAGCAGCAGAGCAGCAGCACAGCAGCGGGCCAGCAGCAGCAGACCCGCGGCGTTGTGTCCGTTTTCACCTTTAATTAATTCTTTTATAAATCAAAATAGATAAATAAATAAATAAAAAGAAATGAAGAAAACACCAAACCCTAAACCCCAGCCAGTAGTAGCTGTACAGACACCCCACGGGGTGTAACCGCTGGTCTTCTCTTTTCCCTGACACAGTTGGCTGCCCCCCACTCATTTCAAAACCCTAAATTAGGGTTTAGGGTTTAGGGTTTAGGGATTAGGGTTTAGGGACTAGGGTTTGGGGTTGAGACTCTGTCGCCACCAGCGCCGCCTTGCCCGCGACCCACGCCGTGGGACAGCTTGCCTTGAACTCGACGCTAGGGTTTAGGGTTTAGGGTTTAGGGTTTAGGGTTTAGGGTTTTTGCCAAAGGTTTAAGGGTTTAGGGTTTGAGGTGGCCATGCAGATGCTTGCTGCACAGCCCTTTCTGAGGGGGCCTTCTCGGCGAGCCAGCTGATCAGGAACTGCTGCAGCAGCAGGTACTGCAGCAACAGCAGCAGCAGCAGCAGCAGCAGCAGCAGCAGAAGCAACAGGAGCAGCAGCAGCAGCAGCAGCAGCGGCGGCAACAAGAGGCCTCTTTCAAACGCGAGATGGACTAATGCTGGGGTTTAGGGTTTAGGGTTTAGGGTTTAGGGGATGCCCCCGCGAGGCCTCTCCCCTTGCCAACCATCGTTGCAGCTGTCGGGCGAAGCAGCAGCAGCAGCAGCAGCAGACACAGCAGCAGCAGCAGACACAGCAGCAGCAGCAGACACAGCAGCAGCAGCAGACACAGCAGCAGCAGCAGCAGCAGACACAGCAGCAGCAGCAGCAGCAGACATTGCAGCAGACGCGGCAGCAGCAGGACCCGCTGCAGCAGCAGCGCAGCCGGCCGTAACTTCCCACTCATCGGGAGCAGCAGCTCCAGCAGCAGACTCAGCAGCAGCAGCACCCGCAGAAGCAGCAGCAGCAGCAGCAGCAGCAGCAGCAAATAACTTTGCTGCTGCATGTGTGGGGCCCCTAGATCGCGCTTGCGGTGTCTTTACAGCTGGCTTTATGTCTCTCTCTCAAAACCCGCATTTAATCTGGCGCTCTTCCTCAAGCCCCCCCCCCTCAGCAGCAGCAGCAGCAGCAGCAGCAGCAGCAGCAGCAGCAGCAGCAGCAGCAGCAGCAGCAGCAGCAGAAGCAGCAGCAGCAGCAGCAGCAGCAGCAGCAGCAGCAGCAGCAGCAGCAGCAGCAGCAGCAGCAGCAGCAGAGTGGCTCGCCCGCGAGGCGCAGACAGTCCCCGGGGGGCCCCAGGGGCCCCCGCTGGGCAGCGAGAGCTGGGGGCCCCCTGGGTACCTTTGGGGGCCCCGGCAGTGCCCCGGGGGGCCCCCCAGAGGGTCTTTTGGGGGGCCCCCAGGGGGCCCCCCGAGGGGATATTCTGGAGGCCTCTTTGGGGGCCCCCCCTCAAGGGGGCCCCCCCTGGGACTGCCAAGAGGCCCCTCATGGGGGCCTTTCCCCTGTTGAAGGTCTTTTGCCGTTAGAGTCCGGGGGGGCCCCTGGGGGCCCCCCTGGGGGCCCCTCACCTGGGGGCCCCCCTGGGGGCCCCTCACCTGGGGGCCCCCCTGGGGGCCCCCCTGGGGGCCCCCCTGGGGGCGTTTCTTCAGGGGCCCCCCCTGGGGACCCCCCGGGAGGCCCCCCTGGGGCCCCTTCTGGGGCCGTTTCTTCGGGAGGCCCCCCCGGGGGCCCCCCCGGGGGCCCCCCCGGGGGCCCCCTGGGGGGCCCCCCTGGGGGGCCCCCCGGGGGCCCCCCTGGGGGCCCCGAAGCGAGGGGGGGCCCCCCGGGGGCCCCCGGGCGGTCGCTTTCGTTTGTGGGGGGGCAGCAGCGGGTGTACAGCCAGCCCGTGGGGCGGCTGGGGGCCTCCGGGCTGCCGCTGCAGGCGAGGGGTTTGCTGCGGCGTTTGGGGTGGGTGGCTCGGGCCCGGGGGCGGCTGCAGCAGCAGCTCGTCCAGCAGCAGCAGCAGCAGCAGCAGCAGCAGCAGCAGCAGGAAGAGGGGCCCCTGGCCCTCTGGGCCGGCGGCTACAGCACCCCCTGCGCAGGCAACTTGGAAAGCAGCGACAGCCTTTTCATTTCCTGCTGCACTGACTTCCCCTTGCCGCTGCAGCAGCAGCAGCAGCAGCAGCAGCAGCACTAGCAGCAGCAGCAGCAGTAGCAGCAGCAGCAGTAGCAGCAGCAGCAGTAGTAGCAGCAGCAGCAGCAGCAGTAGCAGCAGCAGCAGCGGTAGCAGCGGCAGCAGCAGCGCCAGTGAAACGCGCAGTGTTGCGGTGCCCAGATAGTTCACTGCAGCAGCAGCAGCAGCAGCAGCAGCAGCTTTTGTATTTGTGTTGTATTTAGATAGATAGGCCTTTAGGCGCTGATGCTGCTGCAGCTGCAGCTGCTGCAGCGGCAGCAGCAGCTGGAACAGAAAAGAACAGAAGAGGGAGCAGCAGCACCAAAACACTAGCAGCTATAGCAGCAGCAGCAGCAGCAGCAGCAGCAGCAGGCCCAGATGTGTGTTTGCTGCTGCTTCTGCTGCTACACCTGCTGCTGCTGCTGGGCACTTGACCCGCCGATGCACTAGCTGCCTGGCCGTTTCAGCTGCTTCACCTCCACCTGCTGCGCCTGCTGCTGCTGCTGCTGCTGCTGCTGCTGCTGCTGCTGCTGCTGCAGGCGGGTGCCGCGGGAGAAGCAGTTTGCTGTTGTCCGCCGCTCGAAAGCGCAGCAGCATTATTTCAATTGTCCTTATCAGCTGTCGAGACTGCCGGAGGAGGCGCTGCTGCAGCTGACCATTCAGTCTCTTGCTGCTGCTGCTGCTGCTGCTGGCGACGCGGGCCCCACACCGCCTGCTGCTGCTGCTGCTGCTGCTGCTGCTGGCGACGCGGGCCCCACACCGCCTGCTGCTGCTGCTGCTGCAGCAACGCCAGCAGCAGCTGACGCCGCAGACCCCGCTGCTGCTGCCTCTCGCGACAGCGACGGAGCAGCGCCACAGCAGCAGGCAGCAGCAGCGCAGCAGACACAAGCAGCAGCAGCAGCAGCAGCAGCAGCAGCAGCAGCAAAGCCGTACGGAGAAGCAGCTGAAGCGCGCTCTGAGCCGTGCCCAGCAGCTGGGGAATTTGCACTGGGGAGCCCTCTGCAGCAGCAGCGAAGCAGCAGCAGGAGCAGCAGGAGCAGCAGGAGCAGCAGGAGCAGCAGCAGCAGCAGCAGCAGCAGTTGCTTCTCAGACGTGAATAAGAGACATCTGAAGTCTTGCAGCAGCGACTGCTTAGAGGCTTTAGGAAGGCAGCGGAGAAGCCAAAGAGACGCAGCAGCAGCAGCAGCAGCAGCAGCAAACCCGGCAGCAGCAATGGAGACAGAAACAGCAGCAGCGGCCGTGCCGTCAGCAGCAGCTTTGTTTCCGACAGCAGCAACTGCAGCAGCTGCCGCCGCCGCCGCAGCAGCAGCAGCAGCAGCAGCAAAAGAGGGCGACGGCGCAAGCAGTTTGCTGCTGGAGCTGGACCGGCCTTT